AAAATCCTTCATGTGTTGCCTCGATCCGTGCCCTCCACCGCCGGTCCGCCGATCCCCAAGGTATAATCTAAACTCATATTTTTGCTCTCGACGTTGGCGGCGAATTAGCAAACCCCCTATGCGCTCACGTAGCGTTGTGAGGAGGGAAGCTAGTCCGACGCCTACGACGAGGCGGACAATCGTCTAAAATCCTATCATCGATGCTTGCGACGAGCCGGCAAACCCCCTGCGCGCGCACGTAGCGTTGTAGGGAGGGAAACCATCATGACGCTAGTGACGAGGTGGGTAATCCCCAGACCGCTCATGTAGCACGAGGGGGACGAAATTAAGTACCCACACGTGGGGAAATACTTATGCTTTCTTTTCAACAGGTACCCAAGACCCTTAAATACTCACGTAATGGGCGGGGATTAAAGAAAATGAGGCCACGGTGTCGTTGGACACCTACCCGAAGCCCTCAAGTAGCGACTAGGGGAAGGCTAGTCTCTCGGATTTTTCCCCTAAACGGGGGAGACACCGGGAGGTTGCCAAAATTCAGACTGAAGATACCGTGGACTTGAGCAAGATTTGAACATACATCTTGAACAAATGAGGACTTGCTTTGGACTTAAGTTAACAAATATAAAGGGCTTAACATGATCATAATCAAATAAGCAAATAACTCAGACTAAACTCAAGCAATAAGAACCTAAGCATCTGAACGTGAAGACTTGGACTCCAGGGGACATTTGAACTTGTACTTTGAGCTCGAACTGTATAACATCAAGTGGGGCTTATGAACTTGATGAACTCAGATCCAGATGAATCTGAATTTGAACAATCACTTACACTTGAAACTTTTAAACATTCAACTAAGTTTACACTACAAGGAATTGAACTTGCAAGGACTTGCAAATTTAAACCAAACAAAATAGCAAGAGGACTTGAACTTGCACATTGAACTAGAACCTGAATTTTCAAGAATAATAAGGGACTCAAGGAGCTTGAGATTGAATGGGATGCAAAGAGCTGACCCATAACAACATACAAGACTCAAGCATGAATTGAACCTTGAACTCGGGCCCGATGGAATACGTAGGACTGGGCTCTGGATGAATGAACAAATCAAAGTCTAAAGGCACGATCGTCCAAGCTAACAACAAGTTACAAATGGGAGATGAAATCTCAATGTATGCGAAAGATGAATGCAACGAACTCCTACAACAGTCCCTACGTGGTTAAATGCAACGTGCTTGCAAGGACAACAAATGGTTGCATAATGCGTGGGTGTTCCCCACACACATTATTGGAACCTCCAACACTAGCAACATTTTCCTGTTGATTAAAGAAGGCGACACCGGAGATCAGTAAAGGAGGACCCATCGCCGCAAATAAACTGTGAATGGCAAGGATGAACACGAGGCAGATGTAATGGACGCCTACGACAATCCCTATAGTTGCCTGTAGATTGAGATGGCAATACTACCACTCGATAGTGGAGGACTCGTCCTTACGAACAAGTACAATCATCAAACCACCTGAGATTGGTGAAAAGTGGATAAGATGAAGGCGACAATGACTCTTCTACGAACACCTCCAGGAGGTCATAGTGGATACAACGGGTCTCTACAAATAAACATAAGCCACTTGTGGATAGCAATAGTGGATATATCGTAGGTACAACGAACCACTGTGGGCACAAGTACAAATATCACCTATGATAATGGTGACTAAAATGCTGCTAAGTACGTTGGGTTCGAGGACCACTCGATGTACGAAAAGGGACACCTCCTGGCAGAATGGAAGAGAGGTTTGAATAAATTAGAACTAAACTTCCTGGTGTTCCAAAGTTTCTTCTTGGTTTTATCCTTAAGAAGAAAACAACTTTGTATCTGTAGACACCGGAAACAACAAGTCTACTATACTAGTGATTTTGGAAGGAGTTTAATGTAGGACAACATGCATGAATCAGAAACTTGCACAAAATTTGTTAAGAGAAATTTTAGATTTTAGTTATTCGTGATTAAAACAACAAGGTAAAACTCTTAAAGGTTCAACTTAGTTAGGCTAAGCCACACAAGAGACTGAGCTAAATCAAAACACAGGAAAACTAAGACATTGCTTGCGAAATAGTTTCCAACTTAACCAAGACTTAACAATGAAATCTAATCACAAAGAAGTAACAAGCCTACGATTAATAATGGATGGCGATTAGTGGACACAATTTCTTGCTTGCACAAACTCTCAACAAAGTAAGTAGAATTTGAAAAGTAAGTGAATCAAGGAAGAAGATCACCTTCTCGGAGAAATGACGTGAATCAATATAAAACTTCCGTAGCTTCTCTTCCCTGGCCTTGATCACAATGAGTAGCAAGTGGTGGGTGATCTTCTCTTTGCATTCAACAATGTTTGGATTCAAGTTGAGGAAGGCAAGTTGAGAAGATCCATGCCATCTTATCCTTCGTATGCAAAATCGGACCCAACTCCGGATCGATCATCCATCTCACGTCAATGAGGGAGAGACACCTTGAGAGGGATCGAAGAGAGAGAGGGAGTGGGCAGTGGGAGAGGGTTGCCGGTGGGTGGTAAGGGGAAGGGAGACGGTTAGGGTTTAGAGGAGGCTAGGTTAGATGGAATAGAGAATGAGGTAAGCTCCAAATCTGAAATTATTCTCAGATTTAATTAAAATTGGAGGGAAATTAAAAGGATTTGAAATTCAAATAGCATGACATTAATCCCCTTAATGAAGCATTAAAGGAGAGGGGCCCGTTAAGGGGGCCGACGGCATGTAGAGGAGATTGGGAGTGATGGAAAAGGAG